TTTTATTTTTATTTTTTTAATTTATTATTACTGTTAGTCCCTTTACTAGCAAAGTACATGTTACCTTCTGTATGTTCCGTTTGTAGATGCCAAATAGTTCGGGTTTTTTTTGTATTTTGTTCTACTTTTACAACTACGAGACAGCTGCTATTCTTGAAATGTAGGCAAATTTGATCACCTTATGATCAAATTTGATGAATGAATAAAGCTGTGGTGGAAGGTTCTATTTTTGTTCTGCATAGAAAGCAAGAAAAAATGGCCAAAAACTTAACCACAGTCTAAAGATGGGCAGCTGAATTCATGAATGAACAGAACGAGACAAAACTCCTGGGACACTGCTTTCCTACTAGAATTATATAGCTGCTTAAATAGAAAGTAAAACATACAGAAACTTCATTTCTATAGACATGAGTCTCTGCTCTTGACTCTGAAATGTAGAGATGTTGAGATCCATCTTCACTGGTCTATCTTCTTGACGCTGCACGCCCTTGCCAGTTCTGGTTTGTTTCTGCTGTGTTCACAGAGTGAGAACTCTTGCTCGCGCTTCATAATTTCCTGTTACAGCTGCCGGACCTCCTCTTTCCTCTCTCTGTTCTTTCTGCCAGTCCATATTAAAAAAGACACACGAAGAAACACAGGCAAAGTGGCCAAGAACTTCATTACGTGTTAGTTGAAAGTCCTTTGTAATCATCCTTTCTACATCACTTTCCTCTTGATGAAGCTCAGATTTCTTCCCACAAGTATCTGGTTGTTGAACCATTGTATTATGATAAGACTATGCAATAAAATGTAAAAAACCCCATGTCTATATTTTTGTAATCCGGAATTGAAGTCAGGAGAATAGTCAAATGTGTTCCAGATCCTCATCAAAATGTGAAAGAAAGGGAAAGGAATCTATTTCAAGCAAGGAAATGATCATTCTGGTTTTACTTTTCCCCCAAGTTCTCTTTTCAGAAGGCAACTCTAGCCTCTAGGCATGCACAGCGAGAAATTCAGATGTGTGTTCTTGTGGGCTCATTTGACAGTTTCACAGACTTTTTTTTTCTAATAATGACTCTGCAAATTTGTTTGGGTGTTCAGTTTATCATCTCTCTGCAAGAGATATTCATAAACCTCTTGCTTTCTAGAGTCCAGTTTGCTGCTTAAACACTCATTGGGATTTTAAAATCTTTTTTAATCTTTTTTTTTTATTTAATCCTATTTTTTTTCCTGTTCCGTGAGGTCTAAACAAGACTAAATCACTCTTTAAAATTCTTTGAGACACTAACTTCTGAACTGAATGCTAAATTTTTTCCAAGTGTAGTTACTTGAGACATAGGCAGTCATATCTGAAATCTCCAGCTGTATTGGAATCATCTATGCTCAATGTTCTTTACTCATCTGCAGGAAATCCTTAGTTTTCTTATAAAAGCCAGACATAATCCTGCATATTTCCTCTAAGAGTATTCTCTGAACTGTGCTTGTTAAGCCTAGATAGGACCATTTGCTAATTGCTGACACTTTTGCTTTCGGAATTTGACCTTTAAAGCATCATCTTTAGAAACTCAGTATAATGTAGTTCCATGCTTTTATATTGATTTTAAACTTTTTTCCCCATCTACGTTTTACTTAATCTTTTTTTTATGCCTCCAAGAAGCTGAATGACATACGCTGTTCAGGTGCAAGGCAGCTATATTTAACTTTACTAGGATGGAAACATTTGGAGAATATTTAATTTTTCTTTTAGCAATTTGTTAGAGAAAACCAGGAGAGTTTCGTTTTCCCGTAATGAAACTGCTCAGTCATTCTGTAAAAAGGGACCAAAAGACGAGCTGGTGATCCAACCTGCCTACCTTAAAGTTCTTTAAGGCATTCGAGTAGCAAATTGGTGACCTTAAAAATTTCCAGTTGCATTAAATGACTGAATTGCAGTTTTATCTGTACTGATGTTGTGAAAACTCTTCAAAGTAGTCTTTTTGTGTTTTTTTTTTTTTTTTGTGATTCTGTTCTCAGAGATGGAAGTTTCATGGGATATGACTTTTGAAACAAATAATTCTTGCTGGGAGACAATCTGCTGCCTGAGCATACCTGGTATTCTTTGTTTACCTGGTAAAGCACTAGCTTGCAGCACTGCCCAAATTTTTAATGCACGTACACAAGCAGTTCCCTTTTGGCCCGGTTTCAACTATGTTGAGACTGATCTTTCACCTCGAACAGGCTTGTGTGGGTTTTTTAATGTCATACCCTAGAATGTCAGTGGTCTGAGGGACAGGAGGACTGTCCTTTGAGCCCCAGACAAGTGGAAGAAGCAGAACAGTAAAATGTTGAAGATAAGAGTACTCTGGAAAGCTGTATGTCAGGCTGTATTCCTTTGATGTCAAATTTGGGCAGGTAATAGCAACTTGTGTACAATGGGAGATAACTGTAGTAACTTAACTTGATTGTGTGGACCTTAGGATGCTTGAGACATTACCGCACTAGGCAGTGAATGAGTTTTAGTATTAACTGTTTGTGGTGCTACTACACTGTGTTACGGTAGAGGTTAAAAATTACTCTTTTGGCATCATGTCTGCTATGTTTTGGCTTCCCTATAGGAAGGGGGCAAAACCCACAGCTGTTAGAACTGCGTTTTGCATTATGAACTATTTTAAAATAGAGGAGAGAAAAAAAGGACCCTGCTTTGAATACAGTTAATATGTGCTATATGAATTTAATTATACTGTTTGGCATAAAATAGGTTTGACCATGTTTTCCATGAACTTTAATTTCTTGTTAGAAGCTAAGGTTCTAAACAGGAGTGGGATTCCTTTTCCTTATTGACTTTGCTCAGAATTAACACTGCCTGCTGGACTGTTTCCTAGAAACACACAACTTGTTTCAGTAACTAGTTTTGCACAATCAATCTTTTTTTGGTGGTGGAGGCTTTTCATCACTATTTTGACTATTGATGGACAACAGCCCAGGAAAACATTGAGAATATGTATTATGATGGAAGAAGGCAGTGCAATTACTACAGAAAACAATGTTCAGTGAATTTATTTTAAAGATACTGGATTATTTTTAAGCCTGTACAAGTGAAAATGGTGCCTATTTCTTTGTTTTGTTTAAACATTGTTAGCAAATCTGGCAGCTCTTTTTGCATCTTCATGAGATGGATAAAATCTACAGGGTTAATACTATTATTGATGCTTTCAGGAAGAGAGATTATTATAATGCAAAATTATTAATGCTTTCAGTAGAATCAGAATATGTCTTAAAAACTGTTACGTTGTGTACTTGCACTGTAGGAACTGAAGCCGATTTTGTAGTGTACAGTCAGCTACAGCGTTATAGATGGAAAATGAATAAAATGTTAGAATACTCGTACATAAATAGTTTGAAAGTACACTGATGTACTTCAGGTACATCAGAATGGAAATCTGTAATGGAAATTCTCCTCATTTCAGACATTTTGTGAATGGTGTTTCATCACTGCTCACACTTAGGGTTGAGTTAAAACAATAATGCAGAATGTTTAAATAAAGTGCCTAGTTATAATTATGATAATTTCAGAATGCATTTTAAATCAAGGAACGATGCTTTCATGTGCACATGCTTACATGTATTGTGTATTTGTTTTTAAATGAAAAGAAACCTGGTCTCCATCTTCCTGTTGACATCAAACAATCCTCTGATATGCAAATCCATCTACGGGGAGAACAGATACAGAGGGTTTGTTTGGATTCAGTCCAAGACTGAGAGAGAATTATATTTAAAGAAGTCATTTATATGCTTTGCCTCATTTAAATGAAAATGCATTTTGAAATAATCCCTATAACTAAAAGCACTGTGGTGAAATGTTATGATCCTGAGTATGACTGATGCATTTTACTATAGCTAGTGTAGAAACACCTTTCTCATACTCCTCCTGCATGTCTCTGTAATGTGTAGATGCAGCTGTCAGCTTCTCAGTGGTATGTTTTAACGTAATATATGAAAATAATTTTATTTTTCCAAAGTAGTTAATGTTTGTTATATGAACTTGCTTATGGTGTGCATGAGTGTGAAGTGTGTGTATACGCATGCTATTAAAATACATCTAAGTACTTTGCTTTCCGTCTAAAATTTTGCTAGTATTAAAGTTGTTCACATATTTTCTTCATGTATTTAACTTCAAAATCTGTCAAAATACAAATTCTTTAGAAAGAAAGACTAAATGAGCAACAGTTTTTCAGTCATGTTACTTTTAGCTGCAAAATTTATAAAGGTCAAACTTGCACATTTTAGCAGTGGCTGAATTTCAGGTTTTCAGTATGTATTTTTGGAGGACTGTTATCCCAGTCCCTGGGTATAATATTTGAAGGAGATGTGTGTAGCAGAGCATAATTATGTTTCACGTAAGCTTTAACAGGCCTCTGAACTGTTACCAGTGATTGGTAATGGTTGTTTATACAGGATGGAAAACATTTGAACAGGAATTAGATCGCTGTAAAATTTTTGGAAGTTCCAGTTCTTTTAGTCCCCTTTTATGTATCGCAGAAGTTTCTAAGACTAATCCGATTGACTCCTTTTACATGATATTTGTTTGTGATTGTGTCAGTACTATTTTTTTTCCTTTTATTTAGAAAATGAGGATATGGAAATGAATGTTAGTGTAAGGAAGTACTTCATTTGGGACGTTCTGTGGCACGTACCTTTATATGTTCTGTGGCTACTTACTCTAGCCTCTGTTCTAATCAGAATAATCCTGCACTGGGGATGGCTAAATACCAAGTAAATCCTTTTTTCGGATAGTAGTTTTGGTGATGCATTATTGGGATACATACATCCACATGCAATGTGGATATCACGTTGGTGATACAGGCATTAATATTTCAGGGAAAAGCTTTCTGTGTCAAGAAATTTTGTTAAAACTCTCTCATTAGGTTATGAGCCTCTTGTATTTGTTTCTTTAAATAAAGAATTTTCTATCTTTTCTTTTTTCGGTCATTTTATGCAAGTTTTATTTTTTAATCTTCAGTGTCCATCCTCTTTTCTTTAAGCATTTTAAGAAACAGAAGAGGTTGATTCCTGAAAGAACAGTTTGGAAGTACTTTGTTCAGCTTTGCAGTGCCTTGGAGCATATGCATTCTCGTCGTGTTATGCATAGAGGTAATACAGGATCAAAGATGGTTTGTCTTTACTAAACCTTTTACTGTGTGAGAATTAAGCCGGTTCAATGCAAATGATGCCAAATAAAGTCATAATGGAATCAATTTTGACAGCTGACAGAATGTATGTTTCTGTAATGGTTTGTAAGTAACGGAAGAGTGTGACAGAAGTTCCTGGTTGTACGTTTGCTGTGGTAGGCATTTGCAGCCATGGCTTCTGACACCAGATTTTCAAAATAAGTGGTAGTTGTGTAGGTGATGGAGACCCTGCCACTGCTAGCTCTTTCCTTGCTCAATTCATTTTCCTGGCACTTATTTTCTGTCCTGTTCTTCTATATTTGCCCATTGTCTCTCCCAAGTGTTGTTACCTGCATTCTTGCACAGCTATCCATCCATTCTTTTCACCTCTTGCACCTTTTTTACTTACAAAAGTATTTGCCTCCTGCCATGCCTTCTGGTGATGTATAGGCCCCTCTACTCCCTTATCTACTGGATTATGTGCAGTCATGAGCATTTTCTCACTTTCTCTGCTCCTCTCTGCTATTTCCAATCTCTGTGTCAAGTACTGTGTCCCAACAGCCCTTGTAGTTGCCAGCTATCCCTGTCAGGTACTAAATCTTTTACCTATTTTAAACCTCTGTACTGCTGTCTCCTCTGTATGTTGTCTTCATTGTACCTTGTAGCTCTGAGTCAAAGAAAACAGATTGTAGTATAGCTGCTTCTCAGATGTATAGGGTTTTTTTTCCTTGGAAATCCCTCTGGCTATGAGTTGCAAGTTGTGTATGGGCTGTCTCTCTGGGTTCAGGTGAAATTAGATGACTTGGGTTGGTGGCTGCCTTCTGCTGGGATGCAAATAGCTGCCTGAAAGCTGAAGTCCCTCAATCTCTGCTGAGCTTTGTCATTTGCAGCTAGAGATGTTGCACCCTTCAGCACATCAATTTAGATGCCCCTGCAAATGGCTTTCCCTTGAGATTCTCCTTTTTTTTTTTTTGTTTCCTTTACACATTTGTACAGACCTACTAGTGCAAATTACACAGAGAAGGACCGAAAATGACAGATTCTTTCCATAGAGTATAGGTATCTTCCTTGAATGCTTTTATGAGTGAACTAGTTTATTTCAGTATTATTTTAGCTCAAAACCAAAATGAATTTAAATTCCTTAAACTGAAATACTACCTTCAAAGCTTCTGGCAAGCCCATGGCCAATCTAACAATTCCGTGGTTGCACACCAAAACCAAAGACAATTAAAGCTATTTTTAATCTGAGCAGATACAGAATCACAGAATAGTAGGGGTTGGAAGGGACCTCTGTGGGTCATATCTCCAGAGAAGGAGACTCCACAACCTTCCTGGGCAGCCTGTTCCAGTGCTCCGTCACCCTTAGAGGGAAGAAGTTCTTCCTCATGTTCAGACGGAACTTCCTGTGCTTCAGTTTGTGCCCATTGCCCCTTGTCCTGTCACTGGGCACCACTGAAAAGAGCTTGGCCCCATCCTCCTGACACCCACCCTTCAGATATTTGTAAGCATTTATGAGGTCGCCTCGCAGCCTTCTCTTTGTGTAACAATCCAACAATACCCGTGTTGGATTGTTACACAAAGGGCGATCCAAACTTCTAAAAACTAGGTCACATAGCAGCAGAACATAACTGCTTCTGTCTTCCTCTGTAAAGCTTATAAGGTTTTGTAACTTTTTATGGGAAACATGAAAATGCTCCTGTTTGAGGGTTATTAACCATTCCTTTTACTGTATCAACATCTAATGCAAACTGTAATCCCCTGTTACAAAAGTTAGGTGATTTTCTTTAAGTTTAGAGCCACAGTGCATTGCTCTTGAGCTGATAAGAGCTAAGCACACTTGCCAGACAAATATCAGGTCAGTTAAGACTAACAGGATAGGTACCTTGTTAAAAATCATAAAATAAAAATATTTGCTGCTGTCTCTAAAGGATTGGGTCAAAATTTAAACTGAATATTACTTGTGAAAAATAACTGTCTGGGGTATACATCATTATTTTTCTTTGTTTCTACTTGATTAGCCCAATTCCATTGACGAGTTCAAATAACCATTCTTCTGAGTAAAACTTGCTTCTTTTTTTTTTTAATGCTTGCTATTAAATAGAATCAGTTACCTATTTGAAATAAATAACATCATGCCACTGTGGGTAATCTGATCAGCACAACTGATGAAAAATATGTTTTACAGTTCTTGAAAACATTTTTCGTATGTTACTTAAGACATACTGAGAGATTTTCTAGTTCTAATGGAAGTCCTTACATATAGCTTATGTAAAGTAGTGATGAATTCGCTGTATATGCTTCGGTGGGTAGGTGTGGGGGTTGCTGTGATTTTGTTGCTGTTTGTTTCCATTGTTGTTTTAAATACTTTCCATGGTTCTTGATTTTTTGCTTGAGCAATGTTTGTACTATTAAAATAGTTAATTTGAAATTCCGAATCCCAGACTCACGCTTTCTGAACAGCACAGTTAAATTTTGTTAATATTAGCTGTAAATAAAAGCCTCTTTTGGTCTATTATTAATAAAGCAGTAGCTCTTTTTGCAATCTCACTGTGACTTTTAAATTTCTTAAACTTTTTTTTTCAGATATAAAGCCAGCTAATGTGTTCATTACAGCTACAGGGGTAGTAAAGCTTGGAGACCTTGGACTTGGTCGGTTTTTCAGCTCCAAAACCACAGCTGCACATTCTTTAGGTAAGCTTTCTTCAAGGTGCAGGTGTTGGGGAGGTGAACTGCTTTCTTTTACAGGGTGGAAATACTGTGCTCACTCATGAAAAAGAAGGTTAGGTCCAGCTAAAGCTTTTCTTAAATAATAATAAAATAAATGGTCACCACCATGGACGAATACAGAAAAGCTGTAACACTGAGGTGTCATTTTCAGTGGTACAGCTCGTTGGGGGTTTTTTGTGGCTTGTTTTTTTTCCTTCCCCCTTTGAGTCGTTTAATGTACATTCCTGACTCGAAACAAGTCTTCATGACAGCAGTGTTTTCTAGAAATGCTAGGAAAAAAATAAGATCAATAATACAGGTACATTTTTTAAAAATTCATTTGAACTTTAACCAGTGTTGGAAAGAATCTAGTAATTCTGTGTGCCTGTAGGGTGGCATTGATGACATTTGTTATATACTTTGAAAGGGCTAACAGAGGAGCTTGCCTGTTTTAAGGTGGAGTTTCGCAGTGTAAGCTAAATAAGTCAAGGAGAGATCGGCATTAGGCTTTATGAACCATAAAGACTTGAAAACCAAAGTACCCCCCCCCCCCAACAAACCAAACAACGAAAACAAACCCCAGAAAACTTACAAGAATAGAGAAAAACCTTCTGAAATGCCCAGTCTATTCTTTGCTGGTACATAAAAGCTAACATTGTATTGTCTTTTTCCGAACAAACTTTGCATATAATTTGCATCTTTTGAGTAGCATGTGGAGACTGGGATAATTAAGAAGCCTTTAAAGAAGAAAAAGTAAAAATTTGGCGGATATTTTAAGTTCAAAAGTAGGGAATGGACAAACGGCAGAATCTAAGAGGATCTCTCTGAAAGAGGAAAGTCTTGTAAATAGAATAGGATCTGCTTTAGAGAGAAATGTAAGAATTGGTGTTTATGGTATGGTTATGTAGGTTTTTTTATTTAAGAAAAATTTTTTTTCCCCCGCTGAAGTGGCTGTGTTTAGTGGTTGCTGAATTAAGCCTGTTCACTGGCTGCAAAGGTTGTGAAATGAACTTTTAGACCCTACAAGAGCAGGGCCATTCACAGCAGCATCCAGAATTGTCTCCTGTTCCTTGTAAAGGGTATTGAGGCAGGCAGAGCACCCTACTTGATATTTGAATACAGATAGGTAAAATCAATTCAAATGCTGATCAGTAAAAATTTTTAACAAATGACAGTGACAATTCTGTGATTGGGCATTTGGATATTTTTATAAGTTTGACAGGAGTGCGTGATAAGGAAGATAATATCTAAAAAAGCCAAGAACAGTTGAGTAACTTTTACAATCCTTAATTTAGGGCCATGGGAGGACACATAAAGAATTGTGTTTGTTCAGATGCTGAGGTTTCTAATTAGACTATGAAGTATCAGACTTTCTGGATTAAAATGTGACATATTTATCCTCACCTCTTAATTTAACTTTGTTCAGATAGTCCTAGTTATCAGTACAGTGTGGAAGAAGAGAGAGGATTGATGTTCAGCATGTTTGTACCACATTTGAGGTGTGGGCGATACTTGTGCTAACAGCCAAAAAACCCTATTTTAGGAAGGAAACTGCTGATATGTTCATTACTTCGCTGTCTTCCAGAAAGCCTTTGGTCACTCTTTTGTGGCTGACTGTTTTTGTCATGTTTGGTGCATACTGAAACTGGTATAGTCAAAAAGATGACTGACTGCTGAGATCTTAATAGGACTGAGGTGAAACTCGGACACAGATGTGTGATCTTGCATTAATGAAAAAATGAGACAGAGAAGCAGTGAGACCAGACTGGAAACATGCTTGGGTTCCACATCAAAGTTCAGATAAACCCTAAAGATTCGATACCATTTCATGGCATTGTGCATTATATGAAGTGCTGCTGTTCATGCTGCCATCGGAGCCCCGTGGCTGTCTCTGGCAGCACTATGGAGATCTTACTTGTCATAGTTATGTCCTGCTGCTGCCTGCGAATGGAAGAAGGATGTAAATGAGCGGTGTGAAAAGGGAGCTGCTCCTGGACGGTATTTGCAGGAAGCTGTAAATCCTAATCAGTAGGTAGGAGTGCACGAAGAAGGCAGAAGTCAGTTGTGGGGGCAGGAGAGCTAGACTTGTGTTCTGAGGCAGAAGTCAGGAAGTTAAAGAGGAACAGCCTGCTTCAACCCCGGGTTGTTTTGGCTCGTTGCAGGGGAATGGTTGCAAAGGGACTGAAGACTGAGCTAGAGTCAAAAACAGTGTAAAACCCCCTAACCCTTCAAAGCTCTTTCTCTTACAAATACAAGTGTCATCCAGAGAGTGGGGGTTTAGGGGAATGGAAGCTTTGTTTCTAATGTTGGGTCCTGTGTCTTGGTAGAGGAGCTGTTATTTTTTATTTTCTTTTTTTCCCCATCTTCTCCCATTTCCCTCTTAGTTATGACCTAGTGTCAGAATTCACCCTAGGAAAAAGGTTTTGTTCAGCTGTTAACTTAGGCTACAGTGGAGACAGTAACACTCTGATTTATCATGTCACTAGCAGAGACCACTTTTTAAAATTAATTTTTCCTTTAGTTTCTGATGCTGGTTTTCCTGAAATTTCTTTCAAAGTTGTGTCTTTTTATGATTCCATAAACCTTTGGTGCACAAAACCAAGTGAATTACAGACATGTTATGTGTAGCAATTTATACTTGTTTACAGGCTTTATAAAAATTTCAGTAGCAAACTAGATTCAGGCTTTCAGAGATAAAGAAAAGTACTAAAATTTTTATTAGCCACAGCTTCTAACAGCTAATTATGAATAATACTGATTTAATTAGAAGACTTGCTGATGGTCCATTTGAAACAAATAAAAATACTGCACTGGACAAGGTTTGTTAATGTTCTTAACTCTTTCTATATAGCCTTATCAAAACAGTAGAATTCTCTATTGTGGGGTGTATATACCTTTTTGAAAATAGAAAATCTTTCTTCCAAAAATGCAGAAGTTGAGGCATTTGGTATTGTTGATTTGATACAAACTTGACAGAATTTCTTGGGGTGGGGGGGTGGGGGGGTGTGTGTGTGCGCGCGCATGTGTGTGCGCATGTGTGCGTGTGCGTGTGTTAGGGATTTTTTTGTTGTTGTTGCTGTTTTTAATGGCTGAATGCTAGGCCTTATCCTCTTTGAAATGGCAATTCTGAGGCAAGCTCGTGGAAATGTGCATTTTTAAATCTTTGTTAGCCATTCATTAGATTTAAGGATAGTGAATATTCTAGTATTTCAATTACAACAAAAACCCAAATGAAACAAAACAGTTCCCCATTGTGGTTGTGCTACAGGGTTACACAGTATGGTGTCCAGGCGGACCCTGCTGCCGCAACGTGAATACCTTCTTGCAGGGCAAAGGAACAGATCTGCAATCTTCTTAAAATGCTTGAAAGCAAAGGATCATCTGTGTTGAATTCTGGTGTTTCTTTTGTGGTTTGACGACTTCTGTCATTTCCATGGTACCCCTGTCCCTAGCACAGAGCTATGTTATGAGGGATTTGACTGTAAACTTATGCAGGTTGTGGAGAATAAAATACCTTGTAAAAATGTGTGCAGATGCTCTCCTTTCCTCTTACATATGGATCTCTAACCCAGCAGAGACTGTCAGAGCCAGTGCTGAGGCGGTGATATGCAGCACTGTTTCCCTGCGGATAGAGTAAGCCCCACTCCCGTACTCTCAACCAAACCATTCTGAGAACCTGCGCCCTCAGTGCACAGGAAGGCTAGCAGGGAGATCTGCAGCTGATTCATCACAGTCACCAGGAGAAGCTGTATTGAAACAGCTCTTTTTTTATTTACAGTAGTTTGAAAGCTGAAGATAAATTGTTGTGCTGTTACAATGCTACGTTATAAAACAACCCAAGATACTTATAGATTGATTTCTGCACTTAGACTATTTGCATAATGTAGGCTAGGTTGCAGGGTTACTTGAGGTCTTAGGTCCGGTATCTGTGGTTGAAGATGAGCCTGTGACTTAGAAATCTCCTACATTTATAATAAAATAAAGAAGTTTAAAAAATAACTGTAGTTACGGAGAATTTGTCATGTTAGTCGTTGGTTACCCTCACTGTTCCACAACTGCAACTCATTTGTAACTTTGTCTGTCTTCAGCATCAACCATTAATTGTGTTAAGCACTTGCATATTGCGTTGAACTCTGTATTATATGCTGCGTCTTTGTCTTGTATTATCCCACTTCTGTCTTCAGATGAGTAAAGAAAGTCACATCTCTATAGTATTGTGGTGCTGTATTGCATTTAACAGAAAAAATAATGATCCAGGAAGGATACATGAAGTATAATCACATCTTGTAGTAGCTTGCCAGCAGTAAAGCACTATGTGCTGAGATTGCTCACCGATTTAAAGAGTCGTTGCAATGCCTTCAGTAGTTCCTGAATGTGAGAATAATGAATCTTTTGTGTCATGTTCTGTTAAAAACAGTTTACAGGTAGTAATGATGTCTAGATCTGCAGGTTGTTTTTGTGATTCAGCGACTAATACAACTGTAATTTCAATTGCTTTCACTTGTTGATCATCGGGGGCTTCAGGTTGTATTGCAGTTAAGGTGTTACGCTAGGCTAAATGCTGTGCAATGATAGCATTTGTTCGTCCTGTTCACTACCATCAATCTTTCACAGTCATATCAGATCCCTAACGTATCAGCAGGCTTCCTGGAGCTACTGGTTAAAATTACCTTTGCTTTTGGTAAACTGTGAGCTGTCAAACCTCTGTTTTCAGCTGCCCCTGTGGATTCTGCGAAGCCGCTTTCTGGCACATTGCTCACTGCCGGCTACGCGCATGAGGTCTCGGAGCAGCAAAGGCACCGCTGCTGTAACCAGCTCAGAACCAGATTACTACTAAACCTGTCTTTTGGTTTTAGATGAATTCTGTTAACAAAGCATGAGAATATGCTAAACCACTGCATTGCAAATGCTGTGGATGCAAAATACAGCTGAAAGTTTTCAGAGGTGTCCGAACTCACAAGCCCTTGGAGTAACACAAAAAAAAATCACCGCAATTTCAAGGGGGAAGTACAACAGTAAGGAGAATAGAAGTATGAAAGCTGTGTCATGCCTAATGTTATTTAATTACAGTTTCAAATTTTAAGATTGCTGTCACTAAACACTCATTAAAGTATTGCTGTTGATACATTAGAATAACAGAGTTGCTTCTGGATATTCTGGTAGCTATTTTGATGTTGCAGCCCACCCATCTGTGTGCCTGTTCTTTCCCAGGGAAAAGACCATCCTTCTTGACCATTCCTCTGCTGTGGGTGAATATGAACGTCCCACGAGAGTAAAGGGTTTTTGCAGCACTCTGTCATTTTCACTTGCCTTTCTCCTTTTAAGCTCTTGATCTTTTGCAGTCTTGGTTCAGAGCTGCAGTGATTGCTCAGGCCAGCAGTAAGGGAGCCTCTGGGGAGGGGGCCTGCGGCACCCTCAGCTTTCCTGGGGCTGGAAGTCTCCCCCGAAATATTTAGGGGGCTGAGTCCATTGTAGGATGCAATATGGGACCTCTGTCCTTGCATATCTGTTAAAGAAGCACGTTCTCAGTTTATACTGGTTTGGAATATTGTTTTCAATATTGTTTGCCAAGAGGAGATAATTTTAAATTATGGGTTGCCAGCAGCAGTGGCCTGACCTGGGATGAGGTGGTACTGGTTTTCCCAATCTGAGCTGGGTCTTTCAAGTAGGAAAGTACTCCTCCCCCCGCCCCCCGCCCCAGGAAGCATGACATCGTTTGAGATTTTACAGCCTCTGTAAAAATAGTGCACATTGTCAAAGCATAACCCTTAACTTTTGGAAATGATGTAAAGTTATTAATCTGATTAATTAAAACTATTAGCCTGATTATTCAGCTTTGGAATTACGTTATGTATTTGTTATATCTTTGTTTCCAGTGTTCATACAGAGATGGATGCTGAATAGATGAGGCTAATTCAGAAGTGCAGAAGTTTTAAGAGATCTTTGTGTTCAGTAAAATAGAGTGAGGTTCACTCTCTAATTTTCATAGTTTGCAGTGAGAGTGCTGATTTTAATCTCTGTGTTGCAAGATGTTTAGTTTTGAAATAAGGTCAACTTGTATTGAATTGACAGAATTCAGTTGGTTTTCATCATCAGGATTCAGTGCTTAAGAAAATACTCCACACAAAACTGAAGTAAAAATCTACGTAGATCTGTGACTCTCTTTGCTGTTAGGCAGTAATTTTGGGGGGGGATAGAGGGAGAAAGTTCAGAGGTGATGCACCAGAATTGCCACTACTTTTATTTTTTGTCTTTTTTTTTTTTTTTTTTTTATTTGTCACTTTTGCATTTCTCATATTTTTTTTTTTTTTTGTTGATCTGTCACTTATGCATTACTCATATTTATTTTTAATGGCTTTTTTTTACGGAGCCGAAACATCTCTTAGCATTTCTCTCTTCTAAGTAGCGTGTGACACAGATGGGTAGGGTCTCATTAAAATTGAGGGGAGAGATACACTCGAGTATCCAATGGAAATTTGCTCTGGGACGGTCCTAGAAAACGCAGACGTCTCCAGAGCCCACAGCTCTGGGGCAGGATTAAGCTAGGACAGCCACAGATTTGGGAGCTGAAAAGCCCTCGCAGAGTCGAGTCCTGCAGCAGATGGCTGAGTTGCTTGTAGGAACCTCAGCTTGCGCTGGGCTTGCAGGTTTGCCTGCCTTCCTCTCTGGGAAGCTGAAGATCCTGGATTTCAGGCTCAATTTTAGTTTTGGTTATGCAAACTAAATGCTGTTCAATAGTTTCAAAAGCAGCTTTTTCAGATTTGTATATTCTCAAAAGGAGGAACAGACAACTAATTAAAAAAAAAAATATCGAGACATTTAAGAGAATTTCTAGCTGTTGTTATTTCCAGCCACAGTGATTAACCGTTTGGAAAGGAACAAGGATGTGTGTGTGTGCATGTGTAGTATGTTCCCTTAGTTCTCTTTGGAAGAAAATAATTACTTTTGAGCTTCTTTAAAAGATAAATTGGAAGTATTCTGTAACTGAATAATTCTGGTAATGAGATATCAGTAGAGAAAAAAAGCTGCATTGGGTGAAATAGATGTCTAATTCATGTGTATTTCTGTCAAACTGAAGTCATAAGTATGAATTGAAATTATATGTGTAGCAAAATGAGAAATGCAGAAGATGAAAAATGTTTTTCAGCCAAGAAAACTGTACTTTTACTACTATATAACAACATAATTTTTCATTCAAAAATACTGTGTATTTATTGCAGTTGGTACACCTTATTATATGTCTCCAGAGAGAATACACGAAAATGGTTACAACTTCAAATCTGACATCTGGTCTCTAGGCTGTCTGCTGTATGAGGTAATATTGATGTATACAGTGAACTTAATAACACTGTTGTGCTTCCCCCTCTGCCCCCCCAATGTACTAAGTATTGTTTTAGGATCTATTTGTATGTTTTTATTGTTTAGAAAAGTATGTAGCATTGTGGAAAAGCTACTTTTCAGCTGTTATGTGTCTTTATTTAGTATTAGCGATCAGGACTCTTTAAGTAACTCCAGCATATGAAATACTTCTATTTGTGTTATGCAAGGCTTGCCTTTTACTGGGCTTGCAACAAAGTATTTTACAGCAATTTACGGAAGATTGGCATAACTGAAGGATTGATAAATGAATAATGGCAAGCATATGTAAAATTGTTATAGGTGTTTTTATGGCCTATGCTTCTTACAGGATTTTGGTAATAAATGCATCGAGGAATAGTGAGGCTGACTTGAGTATGCAATACTTTCAAAACTACATTGTAGTTATTTTAATACAAGTTTAATTTCTTTAAATTGTTTGAAACCTGAGTAAAACAATAAAAAAGTGGCTTACTGTGTACTGGTTACCGCTAGCTTGGATTAACTTTCAAGATAATGACTTCAGCTGCACAGACTTACAAAATTTTTCTACTCTTTCTTCTCCTCCAGTTGGTTAAACTATAGCTATTGGTTAATTTCTGTACTAGTATGGTGGAGATAACTAGGTGACATAATTTCAAATGATATTACAGTCTGAGAAAATAAAGATATAGGGCAAATAGCAATTGAGGTGAATGAAGGTGTGGAGAACAGGTAGGCTTCTAAGGCAACTATGTCTTCAAAGTTGTTTGCATATCATTTGTTCATCAAAAGACTGAACACTTGTTTTGAAGGATGCTGGAAAAAAATTTTCTCTCATCAGCAATGGCAGTGAAATCTTTCTAGTCACGTTGCAGATAAAAGCCAATATACCCAACTCACTTTTCATTTACCTGCAAGCCACCTGCCTCAGTGAGTCAGCAGAACTCATTTAACGCATATTCAACAGGATTGGCACCTCCTGTTGGTTCAGGAGTTTGTAGGAAACATTGTCAGCCTGTTGAAGTCGTGTGTTGCTACTAGGTGAATTGTCTCCAGTAACACTAGCTTACTTTCTATCATTAACGTGTTGCTTTAAATACTAGAAGGACAAGTAGCTGTATTGCAGCTCTGCAGAGTTTACAGATCTATGTATAACTGTTACTTCTGAATCTTTGGAACAATTCACAGGAATAAAGTCGGATACCCGATAGCAAGTATTTAGAAGTTTAAATCCTGAAGTGAAACTTGATCCCATATTGGGATTCCTTAATACTGACCATGGCAACTGCCATTGGTTTCAAAGCTCCACTTTCCACGCTTGCACAAGCAGGAGCCTAAAGATAACATAAAGGTAGATGAGGATTTTTCAGTGTTACTACTGCTTTTCCCCTCATTGGTTTCCTTGAGGATTGTTTAAAATCTGGAAGCAAACAAATAAAACCCTTCAATAACTAATTATTATATAAAATAAACATGTTTTGAGGTTAATTTTTGTTCTGTGCTATATGAAATAAAGTGACTGGATAGAAATCAATAGTACTTTTCTAAAGAAGATTTTTGGGTATTTTTTTGAGCTTGCTGCTGGTTCAGTATATTAAACACCTATGTGAATATTAATTTTTTCTTTGATCTGGTACATAATTGCTAAGTAGCTAAATATCTTAATTCCGTTGTTTAACTCAGCATCTTTAAATACCATTCTCTTTTTATTTTAGAAGTTTTACCAGGATGGTATTGAAGTTGATAAGGTGTTGTGTTTGGTTTTTACTTTGCTGTAAGAATAAAGTAACTATTAAGATACTTATTGCTGATGAATTTTATATAGCTATAGTATATGGCAGCATTTTCAACTTTAGCTTTTAATTTTTTAGAGGTATATTTATTCCGTTAGTTAATTCTACAACATAGCAGATATTTGTGGTTTTGTTTTTGTTGGATCACTGAGATACAATTTTGAAATTTTAGGTACAGTGAACTCAAATTATATGCTTAGTATTCTTCTCTCTCTCTTTTTTTTTTTTTTTTTAATTATCTAAAAGTGGTTATTTAAGACTCTTCAAGACATGGGTGGACTAATGCATTTTATTTTTATTACCTGTGCAGTTTTGTGCTGGGTATCTTTTTGTGATATGTCTATTGCCTTCATTTTAGCGTGTTTTGTTATGTTGATTTCATGTTGATGTGTGCTCATATGTGCTCTGGATTCTCTCCAGCTGAATTGGAGAAAAGCTGTGGCATGTTTGTCACTTCTCAATAAATTCTTAACTGCTGCTAAACTCAGTCAATGTTTTAAGTTTAGACTGATTTGCTATAATGTATGTTGTTTTGAAAAGTTTTTATTTCTAACCTATATTACAGTCTATTATTCAATGCTAACTATGCGGCCAGTAAGATTTTTTAAAAGTGTATTTTAATGTCTGATTTTTTTAGAGCCCCAGGTATTTCTGAAACCTCAGAAACAGTACCACTGGAGTTTTAATTGATATGCAACAAAGTAGACTTTACTAATTAAAATCAAGATGCTGTGCTTTTGCTACATGGACCTTTACATGGAAAAATAGGTTTTACACATTTCCTTTTATTGTTCAGCGTAGCAATTGCATCCTTACAGGGTTGTAGGTTGGTGGCTTACAGTTCAAAAAAAAAAAAAAGAGAGCGAGCAAGCTGCCAGCAGCCCCGAAGACAGACAGTGGGCTTTCGTCCCTCAGACACCCCCAGAATACTAATCAGGAAAGTCAGACCCTGGAGGTCAGGGAGCAAGTCAATCATTCTAGCGATCGTCTCAGTGTGGAGGATCAAATTAGCCTGAAAAATTCAGCTGCTGGGAGGAGAGGGCGAGCAGCTGTCAGGGGCAGCAGCGAGATGCACTAATGAACCAGATGAATAGTGCAAAAGCTTGAAAATAAAAACAGGACAGTTGACATTTTTCATCTGTCAAAGCAGGAGATGCATGAAAATACAGTATTCCTGTTTTAACTCCTTAGGGGACATTCAGAATTTTTTTAACACTCCGCAGCTTTCAGACAAAAGTACTTTTTAATGAACACCTAGAGTACAAAAATGAGTATCTGTGCATTTATTTAGAATTTCTGCATGCGTACAGACCCTGCAGTTGATTTTTCTTTTTTTTTCTTTTCTTTTTTTGGGCTTTAGCTTGCATTTTTAACATTGTTTTTAAGGTAAGAGACAATGTCATGTAAATCCAAAAATTAACATCATGTTGGTAATGCAGTATTCTTGAGGAGTGTAGGGTAAACTGTAGTATGGTATTTGCTTTGGGAGCTTTAAAATGATTTGTTCGTACTAGAAGGCAATATGAAAAAAAGCACGGAACTATTTCAGAGCGTTTTTATCAGGTGTAAAGTAAATGTAATGTAAGAGAAATTTGGTAATTTTCTTCATACATTTTCCCCCCAGTGATACCGGTGTTTAGACGTGAAAGAGTTAAACTGCTATCTGGAAGACCACAAGACAGATAAGAGCCATTTTCAGCTTGTCCTGTCCCTGCTGAAGCTCACTGAGTAGCACAGCATGGACTAGCGTGTTTCACACACACTCTGCCTGTCTGGGGAATGTACACATTGTCCTTCCAAAATCAAACTTATTAGCACATGTAGAAAAGGGTGACTGACTTTGGGGCAGCACTGCACTCAAAGCAGCATTCGTACTGCTGCGCTTCAAAGACTTAGAAGGCTTTGAACAGAATGGAGGGATTTTAAATGAATTTTTAAATTTGTAATCCTGCTAACCATAACGTTTGTTTCCACCTTAAATGTCATGTTGTAACACTGGAATTAAAGGGTAGGTTTACTAATGCTGGTCTTAGGGTGATCGTTTATTTAAGTGCTTTCCAACAGATAATCTTATTTTTGTATTACAATTTTAAAATATAGACATGGGTGCCAGCTCTGCACTTCTGATGACATTTTGGGATTTTTTGGTTTTTTTTCAAAGTTTTTGGGGATAACATACTGAATTACAAAGTTTTTGGATTTGAGTTCTTTTGGAAGTATGGACATTACCTTTAGTTTTCTTGCTTTTTAAAAAAAATCACGGTATCAAAGTCTAGTAATAGCTATAGAAGGTTACAAAATCTACTACTGTTATCCAGCATTTTCACTGTACAGTATTGCTTTAGATCAGATAGTGTTCTCAAATGTTTTTTTTTTCAAACAGGTCTTCAGAGGAAAATTACATTGTGGATTTTGGGGGGTTTTTTTGCCTTCCTCTTGGTGCAAGGAATTTCCACACTCACAGTAGTATTGGAAACTACTCCATTTCTCCTCATACTCTGTTAATAAAACTGGAATGGTATACAATTCAAATATTGCAATATAACAATTGTCACAGGTATGACTGTACAACATAGAATAAGTACACACACTGGTTACAGTGATAGTTTTGGAACTTCTGTTTGTAGCACTGTGACACTTCTAAGCAGGGAATCGAAAGTTGTTAAGAATCACCTTTGATTTGTTAGTATTACAGGTTTTAGGACAAAACAGATTTACTTGAAAACACAAAAGAAAACTACATTTTCTTTAAACAGATGGCTGCACTGCAGAGTCCCTTTTATGGTGATAAAATGAACTTGTACTCGCTGTGCAAGAAGATAGAACAGTGTGACTACCCACCTCTCCCTTCAGATCACTATTCAGAGGAAGTAAGTAATTTTCCGATTCATGGGCTAGATCCTTAGTTTCTGTAAGCTGGCACACTGCCAGGGAAGTAAATGAACTTGTGTGATTTTGTTACTTGCAGATTATGCCCTTAAGTGTTTGCTTGTTGAACTCGCTCAAATGTTTGTGTCGAAACAAGTCTCTGGTATGATTTTAACTTTGGGGAGACTAATGTTTGAAACCTCATACTGTTAGCTTCATAATTTCATTGAGCTTCGTTACAAGTATGACAAAATGCGTTCCCAGAATGCACGATGATATGTTCTACATGCCAGAGTGGGATCGAGTCTTCATCTATAGTATGCTTTTCTTAAAGAACAACTCTACAAGTTTATGTTGCGGAGTAAATCAGTGCACTAGCCTCATTTCTCCAGGGGCTTGCATTAAAATAGATATAATGTAACTCACTAGTAAAAATTAATTGTGTAGTTCCCACTTATCTGCATTATAAAATTGCGATGTGCCATGCAATACCATTGAACGGCAGTTCTTTTGCAAGAAGGAGTGGTTCTTGGCAACACTAGTAGTAAATTTCAGAGAAGTGTAGGCAGATGTAATATAATTGAATTGGAACAATAAACTCATGCATATCATAATATAATTGAATTTGAACTATATACTGATGCATATCGCAGCTGTGTGTGTTTTAAGCTGATAGGTAACAGATCTTTACTGTCATTAATGTATTTAAAAGGGGATACTTGCTTTTTTAAGATCTAAAATGAAAAGAAACTAAATAACATAAATATTTTTCTTAGTGCGAGTAACAGAATGAAAAAAATATAAATACTTGCTTGTTAATGTGCTGAGATGCCAGTTTTGAAATACTTGCCTGTTTTGAAAAGAGCAGGGCAACCTGATAGAAGCTGTAAACCAAAGAACATGTATTAGTAACCAATTCTAATTGAATTCAGCCTACATGAATTAAAGATTACTTTGAAAACACGAATAAACACAAGCACTGAAATACTTTTAATAAACATAAAGTGTTGTGCAATTTCATTTATAGAGTAAGGGTTGTAATTCTGAACCTTAAATTTTTTTTACATTCAAAGACAGTGATTGGGCTATTAATAAAAGATTACTGCCCAGTATTTTGTTTTACTTTGCATTTACAGTGACAATTTTTCTTCTTTTATGAAAAAAAAACTCAAAGATAATTCAGTGACATTACAAAGTATGAAATAATGATCTATTGTGTAATTTATGCACTATAGCTCTTTGTGGGTTTTCCAATTAGTCGTTTTACCTGGGCCGTTTTTAATTATTATTTATTGTAGACTATAAATATGGCAGTTCATATAACCAACTTCAGAACTGAAGGCCTGGAAATACAGTAGGGTGTGAACAATAATGCAAAATGATAGCAAAAATGTCAGGGGCCGTTCTTTGTTGTGTCATTCATGCTGTCTTCCTTTTTCCATGAAGCGCATGAATATTTCACATATCTGCATCCTCATCCTCTATTCTTCTTGACTAATTTTCAGACTGTCTGAATTTGCATTTCACATGGTAGCTGATTAGGAGATGCCGAGTGCAGCTCTGCCTGCCTGCAGGGCTACTTCACTGCAGCTAAGTGTGAAGTTGGAGATGTGGATTCCCAGCCAAGGGGCAAATATCAAAGTCTGGCCCAGATAGAAGTTCTTAGAGTTTGGATGGGGAAAGAGATTCCACCTTTTACTTACGTCTGTGTAGTTTCTAGTGTTGAAAACAGATGCAAAGCACAACATGTTACGCTTTCTTTATTTCAAAGCAGGCACAGACTTCGGCACCTTGGATAAATGAGTTATTTGCAAAAATACCCATATGTTATTTTAAAATGTAATGAGAGAATTGGAGCTATGGTAGGTATGAAGACAGCTATGAAAATAGTTACTTAAAAGAAGTAATCAACCGTGGAGACTGTAATGGGAACATTTTTTAACGTTCTGGTATGAAGACTTGTGTCTTCACGGAGGTACATGGAAAAATAGATACGTTTATTAGTTATTGCACCAAAATATAGCTCTTTTTACTTGCATGAAAAAATATTGTGCTGGTATGAACTGTAAAAAGATAGAAACAAACAAGCATCATGTGTCACTTTAGGATACTGTCCTAAATGTTTCACCTGTACTGGAAATTTAGATATCAAACTTTTAACCAAGTTTGAAGTGCACTCAGTGAGCAGTCAAGATCAGGGATCACTGAACAGTAAAACCCACTTCGTATTTTATAACAAAGATTTTTCTGAAAGAAAAATTGCACTGAGTGTTGATCTCTGCATCCTCTGATACAGGAGTGTGAATACTTTCATTACAAAATACAAGGCAAGTGCTTTTTAAAGAAACTTTTTGTAAGTAAATATTAATGAGTTTTAAGATGTGACAGTTTTTCTAAATTTTGAGTTCTCTCTAAGGCTAACCTTTTAGTAATGTATCATATCCATGTCATCAGAGAATAGCATGACAGAAATATGCACCTTAAGACAGATGGATAATTTTTTTTTAGAAACATTTGATTAGAAATCCTAATAGTCTAAGAAGCATTTTCACAAACCATTGCTTCACAAGCCAAGATTTTCAAATGTTTAGCAACTGTGGATATCTCAATTTTTGAATATTCCTAACAAACATCTGGTATGCAGAGTACCAGGATGAGTACTCAGCGTGTACTGAAAGCTGTTTTGCTTTAGGGAATTCAAGGCTGGGGCTCCCTTGCCACCCCAAGTCAATACTCTTAAAATCGTGTCAGCCAATGTTAGTATCATGTTGCTTTCATAATAGACAAAGTTTTTTTGATCTCCACTTTGAGGTGTACTTCTTCTCAAGTCCATAGCCAACCTCCTACCCAGATGTGAAGGCTGGGATGAGGCAGCAGGTCTAGAATGGCAGTGTTAGTTGCTAGCAGAAGGGCTGGAGAACTGAGAAAGGACTTCCAGAAGGTCTCCTGTTCAGAGTAAGAAGAGTTTGGGGGTGTTTTCCCCATCCAAAATTTTCTATATGATAATTTATCTTTTTCAGCTGGCTAGCAATGTAAAGTACTTGCCTGTCATAGTTCTGACTCCCCCCCCC